GCAACCTCACTGGTTTTATACAGAGGTGGTGTGATTTCTCAAGTTCTTATCTATACATATAAAAGCCAAGCAACCAGAATGACAGAATGACCAGAATGACCAGTCGCTATGATGAGCACTTTGGCAGCCAACCGGCCTGATTGGTGCCCCGATCAGCCCCGATTGGCCCCCTACACCCCGATTGGGGCGGGGTCAGCCGGCCAACCACCCGCGGCCCCTGCCCACCACCAGCCCGACCCCAATCAGCCCCCATTGGTGCAGGACGACCGGACCCCACATGTGCACAAATTGGTGCACCGGGTCTCTAGTCTATATATATAAAAGCTTAAACAACCAGCCGACTGGCCAACTGACTGGTAGTTATGATGCATACTGACCACCAGGGGGCAGATGCTCAACTCAGGAGCTGCCAAGCGACAGCAACTTTGCAGAGTGCCCTCTTGCACTCTGGGACCCCTCAGGGGATGTTGGACTGCTGGTTTCAGCCCCATCCCCGCAGGCCAGAGGGACCCCGCTCACTCTGCAGACACCCTTCAAGCCCGGGTGCCGCCCCAGGTTTGTGGCCAGCTGGGGAGGGACCACGAGAGGTTGGTTCTAGGGCATGTTTAGCCCATCTCACCCTGCCAGCCACCTTCTAATTAATTTACTTTCAATGTGCACAAATCTGTGCACAGGGCCTCTAGTCCTAAATAATGATGCAGTGTGTGTAGCACATCTCCAGTAAACAATGACATTTCTAGAGTTAAACAGACTGATAACCTTCAAAGAAAGAGCAGGAATCATATAAAAGATTATGGTCATCAGGCAATACATTTTCCTTAAGAGCTGGTTTCTAATCCATGTAATAGATCACTGAGCAAAGAGTTAGGAGAAGTAGGCTTGAGTCCGAGTCACACTGGCTGCTTAAGCAAATCACTTCACCCCTCTGAAACCCACTTACCCACCCAATAATTTGTTCTGTGGTGGAAGTATACATCATGCCTGCCCCACCAGGAACCTGAAGAAACTATGCCCTACAAACTGTTCCTGCAGAATAGGAAGGGACCGTATTTATACTTCATTCACCTCCTGAAACAACCCACCACAGATCTCCCTCAGTGACCTCTGTTGCCTCCCAAAGATAAACAGACCCATCCTACTTCTGTCAGGAATTTGAAATTGGGAACCAAGAAACTATGAAGTATTAAAGTGGAAACTAGAATTGTAAAATATGAGACAAAATTGGAGCTAGAAAGGCCCTCATGACTTGTGTGTTTTGGTAGCATATTGCCAATAATTAGGTTAATAATTAATCAACCCTTTCCCTGAAGTTCACATTTTTTAGTATGACAGTGATTTTTAACTGGTGTGCCGCAAGAATGCAATCCCTGACTAGTCAGGGGCACTGACCTCTTTTCCCTTAGGTTGGCAAATAAAAAAATGACAACATCCAACACAACAATAGCCATCCGGTGTGGGTAAATCAAACTTATATCTATTTTCTTTGTCAGATCAGCAAAAAAACATATTTTTTGGTGTGCCACAGAATTTTGGCAATTAGTTTATGTGTGCCAGGAGGTGAAAAAGGTAGAAAATCGCTGGTATAATACATCAATAACACGAATTTATTTATACCTTACCTTATTTCAAGTATTTGGAGATTAAAGTATTTGCAGTAGATGTTTGTTTTGCCTACCTGGCATCCTACTTTATTCTGTGACTGACACCCCACTTATTTTGAAGACTGGGTCCTTCCCCAACTCCAAGTGTTTCCTGTCAATCATAGTACCCCACACACTGGCCATGGAGACGGGCCTGTGACCTTTCAGGCAGGCCAATCGAGTGCTTCCCGGGACTTTCAGGATTAAATCTGTGGAGACAGGAAGTCCTTCCTGGGGACCGAGGTGCTGCTGGCTGCCACACCTCCATCTATGTGTGGAGGAAGCCAGGAGCATGAGGTCAACACATAGGAAGAGGTGAGACATGGAGAATCCTCGCATCATGTGTGTTCCTAAGGCTTGCTGCACCCCTCCCCTTCTCCCTGTATGAGTAGATGAGCCAATAAGTCCCTTTTTGCCTAAGCTAGTGGGTTTCTGTTACTTCTAGCCAAGGGTCCTGGCTACTATAGAAGCTGATATTAAGGTTTCTTTCGTTTTGTTTTTTTAATGTCTAAAATGGTATCTTCAAACTTAAGCAGAAAAGTCTACTGGGAAAAATACCTTCAGGCACCATTTTCCAAAAGAGCAAAATCTAAGATAGTGGTTACAGGAGAAAGGCCCTAAAGATAAACTACTGCACAGGAACTTACAGGTTACGCACAATCCCTTATCCACATTACACCACAGAGGCGTCTATAATGAAGGGAATACCTGTCACCGTACTATCTCATAGAAAGCACGAAATGAAGGTCATGAAGTGCTCTGAGCAACTTGGAAAACAATAGTTTTTAAATCTATTGTATAAATGCATCATATATAGGAGTGGTGAATTTAGATAAATTTCTCAGTCTCTCTCTTGCTCAATTTCCCTTTCTGTACAACGGGAGTAACAATGCCTCTCTTGAGGGGAGGTTCACAGAATCAGCAGTAACATACAGGGCAAAGTAGGTTTACAGTTGCAAGTACACAAAACAGAGTTTGTTCTTGTATTAATATTTATTAGTTATTGTATTATTTATTTGTATTAAACTGTAAAGCCACTTTTGCCCACCCTGGCATACATGAAGCTGGGAGAACACGACTCCTCTACGGCTGATATGCCAGAAAAGGAGAGAATGCTAACTATCCGGGCATCTTTTGGAGTTGAAAGACATTTTGAAAGGGGGGCTTTTGGGGGACCTAGTTTTCTGCAGAGATTATATGTTTATTAGGTCCTGGGGGAAGAGGCAGGAGAGCTACCCCAGCCCTAAGAGACACGAGGATCCTGTGCTCTGGGAACACAGTTTGGGAACACCTAAGCAGGGCCACATTCCCTACAGGAGCAGTGGCAGCAGAAACACGAGCCCAGCATGAGCCTGGCAGGAGTGAGCTGCACCCAAGAGTGTGAGCTTATTTGTGAATCAGAAATCTGGAACTTCCAAGAATACTTGGGAGAGGACTTTTCAGGGGACTGGGATCCTGCATGATGTGAGGGAATCCCAAGTCAGCAAAATTTGGGTATAAAAGCTAATGTGACTTCATTCTTAAGAAGAACGTGTTGATCATTGAAATAGTTGGGTTCCATATGTAACAGGATTTGGTACCTGAGTATGAGCCTAGTAAATAGCTGTCCTGTCATCCATTGTAAGATATCTCTCTATAGAATTCTAAGATTGGCCAGAGCTCTGAGAAGGAGGTCACACGATGTCCTCTGTGTTAGTTAAAAGCAACATTAAGAATTTAGACTTACTGAGAGTGGAACAGTTTACTGGCTTACATGTGCCCTCACCTCATTCCATCAAGACGCTGAGATTGCTAAGCAAAATAAAACGCCCCTAGATTACCTTTATGCACCAAAGTTTCAGGTACGTATTAAGGTACTTTGACTCACACTAGTATCATCTACATTTTACAGTACAAAGTTCACTTTTTTTCTGGGGAAAAAAAATTCAATACTTTAGAAGTGCTTTTGTACCGACTCTAATATTTTGTCAAACATACCACTAATGACAAAAAAGTAAACTTATATATACCTCATGGGACAGGAATTATCACCAAGTATTTATGTCAAATGGGTTTTTAAAAAGTTCATAAATTTAGTAACCAATTAACCAAAATACTATCGTGGAAGACAAATAGGCTAAAATTTCTTTCAGATTGTTCCTTTTTAAGAAAAATTTCAACTTGTTCATCGTTTTTCCTCTTCTTTGTATGACAATGCGAACACTGAGTGAGTGCCAGCCACCACGCGTTCACCAGCTTTTGTCTTCAGTGTAGACCGGGCAATGGCTACAGAGCTCAGGGAAGGAGGTGAGCAGCCATGCCTAGAGCGATTATGAAGAGAAAGTTCCTCGCTAGGGTGTATGGTGATTGCTAATGTTCCCTGCAGCTGTAACTGTACAAGGAACAGTAGTCACTTTAATGAAATTTGGTATGGTTTTAGCAACATGCCTGCCAATTTTGGAGCTCAGTTTGGAACATAGCATATTTCTGCCTACTTACATAAATTAGTGGTAATTATGCTTTTGACAAAGGCGAGGTCAACCTATGAGGTTTTCTTCAGAAAAGAATTATCCTTCAAAGCTGAAGGGAGACTAATTCATTTAATTCTCACAACCACCCTAAAAGGTAGGGACTATTGGTAAATATTTATTTAGCACTTACTATGTCCAGGCACTATGTATGCTAAATAAAATAGTCCTTTCAACAACTCTGGGTGGACACTGTTGTCAACCCCATTTACACAGGGAGATTAAGCAGTTTGCCCAAACTAAAGTTAAATGATGCCAGTCTATATTATAGAACAGAGATCTGGCAGGGGTGTCCAAGTGTAATATTTCTAGCAACACCAAACAATTATTGAGTGCTAGCCATTTTACAATTTCTCCTTTAGTTATTCCAACAATCCTGTAAAGTAGCTTTTCTTACCCTCATTTTACAGATAAGGAAACTTGAACATTGTGCTCACATCATGGCAGATTCCAACTGCTTTGTCATGCGTGAACATGGCCATTTCAGAAATTCTTGGAGCAGTCACTCATGATTTTCGGCTCTTAGAAACCCTCTGTGTATCGTTCGGGCCTCAGAAATGTGGTGACTCTTTGCTTCCGGGTTCTCTTGAAATTCCCAGAGAACACAGAATCAAAGGAGGCACTTTAAGGTACACGATCTACCACTCAGCTTTCTCTGCTCCTGACTGATGAGAAGAAACTATTTTACACGCCACCGTGCCGGGGTACAAGAATAGAAGGGAACAGAAAAAAAATGGAAATCAGTAACATACAATAGGCACCTTACAAACACTGCCCGACCGCCTGACCTTGGCCATCCACATCTAACATCCTTCAGTTTTCAAGCGCGGTTCACAAAAAGGGAGGCCGAGGGCACCACAGAAGAATCACTTTTAATATTAAAATACTTTACGAAACAATATGTCAGATTACCGTGTAGCCTACATCTCATTAGTCTCTGCTTTAAAAGCTTTCAGCAACAAGTCTGCCGCTAGCCCTGGGGAGAGGGCCCCGCTGAGCACCTTCCTTTCCAGGAGAGGAATCTGGCCCCGCACGGTGGGGTGGGTCCTGAAATGTTCTAGCACGCTCTCCTGAATGAGGTTCCACATCCAGATTTTCTGCTGCTTCTGTCGTCTGGTCATCAGCTCGCCGCTGGCAAGCATCAGGTCCTGGAATTCTCTCATTTTATCCCACATCTCAGCGATCCCCTCTCCAGTTCTGGAAGAAATACGAACTACCTATTGAGAAGGGAAAAACCAGAACTGTGTTACTTAAAATGATAGAACACACTTTCATGGGACTCCAACACTTGCCAATTCATTCTTACAGTCCAAGGACCTAGGCAATGGCGAGGAGGAGACACTTTATTGATGTGTCAAAGTTAATATCCTGGGAAATGCACCGAGGTAACTTACTAGGATTCCTAAGTGCACAGCAGAAATGAATTACTGATTCAAGGTCAAGTTTTCTAGCCCAGAGATTTATTTGGATTTACAATTGCTCAGATGGTGTTCAGAGGCATCCTGGGAACTGTGAGAGGGTCGCAAGGATGAGAAGGGCCTTGCCAGGTAGGTTTCTTTGAGGCCTGAGTGCCAGAAAAATGAAACCCAGTTGAGCAACTCTGTCCAAGGTGCCTGATTCAACAAATGTTGAGAGTGGAACATCCAGCACCTGACTGCTCTGGACCCAACACACACGTGATAGGGGGAGGATGGGAGCTAAAGGTAACTATGTCATCACTGTTCTCACTACAGTGATTACAGCTTAGTCTCTTTTTCAATCTTCACCTGAGGATATGTTTTTATTGATTTTTAGGGAGAGGGAGAGAGAGAAACATTGATGGATTGTCTCCCGTATGCACCCCGACTGGGGATCAATCCCAAAACCTTTTGGTGTGCTGGACTTTGCTCCAATCAACTGAGCCACGTAGCCAGGGCAAGTTTAATCTTTAATAACACAGAGTCCTCCTGCAGATGAAGCTGCCCACGTCAACATTATTGCATCACTTATTACAGGATTTTCTTTTTTCTTTTCCCTTGTTGAAAACAGCACCCAATGAGCATAATGGGAAGTTATCACTTCAAAAGCCTTTTCTGTCTTACTCAAACACTATTATAGATCACCAAATCATTAATTACTCCATAATCTTAAGGACGGTTCCTTTCAGAATGGATCTGCTATCACTTCCAAAGTGATACTCAGGTCAAGCATTAAGCAATCTAATCTATCACCTCACATCTAGTTGTTGGCATCTAGTGGTTAAAGAATTATATTTAAAAACATGACTACATACTCATAATTTTACATACAAGCAAAGACTGATTATATGTCTAGCTGGGGACTTCCATCCTCTAGCATGCCCAGTGTACTCAGGGTGAAAAATGCAGAATGGAGCGCAAGCTCACCTTTGGTCTCCAGACTTCTGAACGCTTGCGGAGTAATTTCAGCGCACTCACATACTCTGCTTGTATCCTTCGAGCTGGCACAACCAAGTCTCCGTCAGACTTGGTGATAGCTACCAGATCTGCCATCTCAATTATACCTCTTTTGATACCCTGAAGAGAAAAGGAGAAGAAAGTGATTTATCAGAAATATTTAATTTAATTACAGCAAACAAATGGGACACCCGTGGGTACTAAGGTTTTGGAAGTCGTACACTTCATTAACTAATGTCTTCTCTGCATCTTCCCAAGCCCTGGGTACCAGGAATCACAATTACTGACAGAAATTACTCAAAAGCATCACCTCTTGGGATATGAAAGTCATCTGTAATGCCTCTTTTCAGTTTAGAGCCTAACCTGCTGGAATCATTCAGAATTAGAGTAGATATATCATCAAGACACATGGCAGGAGACAGGCACATTGTCTCGTGAAGGATTCGTCTCATGTGCTAACAATGCAAGATGCAAAAGCACCCACCATTGAGGTGCTTGAACAGAAAACACCTGTCACCACATCTGTTTCTGGAAACAAAGTCTGTGAAGTTTTCCTTAATTGTTTACAGCGTTGTTGTTTTTTCCAATTTGCTATTGAGGAAAAATAACCTGATGGCTAAAAATGCCTCAATCTCTTGATTTAAATTACATTGCATAAAAACACTGGAAATCTAAGGCCAACCTTATTGGGAAAACACGTAGATTTTTCCATCTAAGAGCAATATTTCTTTTCAAATATTTTAAAACGTAATTTCTAATGATTAAATCTAATAGTTAACGTTTCTAGATTGCAGCATCCATAGTCTGCTGTCACTATTTTTTAAAAATTATACAATTGGGAGGGAGGTACTATATAATAAATAATTTATCTGTTCTTTGTCTAAGGTTCCTGGGAAGTAACCTCTAAACCCTTGGAATTTCCTGAGTGATAGGCGTGTCTGTGTTATTCCATGGGTGCCTGGACTATTCTGAGTTCAGAATGGGAGCTGCCCACACCAGAAAGGGCAACCTTGTGATGAGAGGGTTGGGCCTTGGGCCTGACCTCTGGGGAAGGATGGGGGTGGGGGAGGGCCTGGGGACGGCCTGGGGACTGAGATCAGTCATGTGGACAATGACTCGGTGAGTGGTGTGCGTCTATGTAAAGAAACCCTGATAAGAACTCCAGACACTGATGCACAGGTGAACTCCCTGGCAGGAGATACACATCAACGTGCCAGGAGGGAATGTGTCCTGAGGACAGAGAAGCTTCAAGTTTGGGACCCTTCCAGACCTCTCCCTGTGTCTCTTCGTTTGGCTGCTCCTGATTTATATCATCATAAAACTGTGACTGTAATACAGTGCTTCCCTGAGTTCTGTGAGTCATGCTAGTTAATCATCAAACCTGTGGGAAACCCCCCCCCCTTTGTGGCCAGTTGGTCAGAGCCGTGGGTGGGCTGGGAACCCCAAGGCCTGCTGCTGGTGTCTGGAGTGAGGGCATCTTCTGGAAGACAGTGCCCTCCACCTGGGTAGCCTGCCAACTACAGGGAGTCAGTGCCGGATTTGCATTGCAGGAGGAAAGCAAGAATCCTATTTTACAATCCATAAACCATGATAGTGGGATCCTGATTAAAATCAAAGTGGTATCTCAAACACCATGTGACAGTGGTCCCTTCCTGTCGGAGCTGCCCATATATTACATCACTCCCATGTTCCATGTGAAAACATCTAAGTTGTATCATTAGCTCAAGGTCATAAATTCTATTACTATAGTTGGGAAAAATATACAGAATCTGCCTTTGACAAGTATTTCAGCCAATGTGGATGCTGCTGTTTCTTTCCTCACACTAATATCAACTTAATTTACAAAAAAAAAAAACCACATTTGAAACTTGCACTTTCAGAGAGGTATGCTTTGTGTTTTGGGGAGGAAAAAGTCAAAACAATTACCTGCAATTCATCCCCTCCTGCTGGTGGCAGCAGTAAAACAAACATGTCAACCATATCAGCAACAGCAAACTCCGACTGACCCACACCTGAAATTTTAAATCACAACCATACAATAAAATGTTCACAGTAATTTGACTTTTTCAACTATATGACCATCATTTCTATTCCACTTCATTCACTCAATCAGCCTCTCAACCCGATCCCACCTTAAACACCCCCCTCTGCAGGACTTATTACACGCCTCACCCTACCAGCACACCTGTCATCCTTCCGTCTCTCCTGTCCTTCCCATTAGTCTCAGTCTCTAAAAGAATGGGGAACCCCGAGGCCTCCACTCCTCCTCACGCCTGTGGCTTTCCTGGCTTCCCTTCATCAGTGAGCAGCTTGAGCACTGATTCTAACCTGCACTATGCCTGCCAATACGTTTTCTTGCCTTCTCATCCTTCTACACCAGCCTGCAAACCCCCACCCATGGGTCAGTGCAGTTATCTGGCCTCTATAGGCACCTGGAGAAACTGCTCAAGTGAGGATCTAAAGCACTACTATCAGTTCAGGGGTTCCAATGTCTCCTGCAAATTCCTCACGGCCTATAAAGCAACGCCCCTAAAAACCCTCAGGCAGCTCCTTCCCATTTCTCACAGTGGGCCATACAGTCAGTGTCCCATAACCTCTCCACATGGTGACGACCCTGGCACCTACTGCACAGTGAAATGGACAGCAAGAACTTCCTCAGGCTTCTCCCTCTCCCCTCCAGCTTCTGCCTCCCCCTCCAGCTTCTCCCTCCCCCCCCAGCTGCTCCCTCTCCCCTCCAGCTTCTCCCTCTCCCCCTCCAGCTGCTCCCTCTCCCCCTCCACAAATAAGCATATGTGAAACAAGCTCTGCCTCCTACCTCCTCTCCAGTCCCAGCATTATAAGCACTGGCTGATATGACCCTCTTTTCTGCCCTCCTCTGGGCCGCTCTGCTTTGTCTC